AGAGGGGGGGGGGGGGGGGGAGGCTGACCTGAAAGGCTTTGCCCAGAGCCTGCCAAGCAGGATATTGTGAAATAGAAACAGGTCCCCAGACCCCTGCCTTTCCTGAGAGCCAAGGGTTGGACAGCCTTTCTTTCCGTCATCTTTGTGTGCTTCCTTTCTCTGGGGGTTTCTGTAACCTTCTCCACTGAATGCTTCCCCTTTTGCTTAGTTGCCTGTCCTCTGCTGGAGCCTGTTTTGCTTTACTTTTTGTCTCTGCCACACCTCCCTTCTTGCTCGAGCCTTTTCTTCGAGCTTAATTCTGAATATTCTTTGGGACACCCAGATCCCAGTGTGAGAGTCAGGCATGGCTCATCCCATGTTCATGGGAAGCAAGGCCGAATTGGGCGAGGACTATTACTGGTGACTTGTTTCCTGCTGCCCTTGCCCAGTAGATTGGCAGGCTGGTATAAAGCAGGGCTGGTCCTTCAAGGAAATGGCCGTTCTTTGCTCATGGGCCCTACTGAAGGGCCACAGGGGTGCAGACTGGAGGGTCAGCTCAGTCCCAGCAGTCAGCACCCCTTCCTGGCACAAGCATTCTGTTTCCTTGGGAAAGCTGTTAATACGCTCTTACCTTCAGAAAGTAACAGGCAGTCCGTGTCTTGGTGAAGCAGCGGCAGCGGCAGCTTGAAATCCGAGGCACAGAGGCCAAGGAGCTGCCTGCCTTTGAAGCTACAGTCTCTAAGGAGACCTTCCTGCTTGAGCTCACCTACAGGCTGTTCCGGGCAGGCAAAATCAAGCAGGGAGCCCCAACCAAGTCTTTGTCCATCGGGCTCCCTCCTGCAGGATCTCCTCTGGCACTTCAAGTGATTCTTCAGGACTAGGAAGCCCTCTGCTTAAATTGGTGCTTGTGCAATGAACAATATTTTAAGAGCTAAAAATATGCAGAACCACAGAAAAGCCAATGAACGTTGCCCATTTTTATGTTACAGAATGAAGTTTTAATGGAAAACAATCCATGGGCTTCCATTCAACCAGGGTAGGAGTTTAAGGCTGAGCCTCCATCATGGGTCTAGAAAATGGAGACGTGGTTTTGGTTTTCGTGGTCAGCCAAATAATCCTGATCTTTCCATCTGGGATGTAGAAGCAGGTTCTCCCCTGCAACGGCCCTCCAGTGCAGAGTCCCAACAGTATTCATGGAGGAGAAAGGGCTAAATTCCTGCAGCTTTGGGGGAACAGATTCTGTCCTGCCCATTACCAGGGGTCTGTATGGGTGTGGCTGGGAGCGACATTTCCTGTTGAGAGCACAAGAATCACTAGGAAAAAGATTTCACAGTTCATCTCCTTACTTAAAAATGGAGGTAACAAATGATCCCAGTAAAAAAATGAATTCGGCATTCATTCATTCATTCATTCATTCATTCATTCATTCATTCATTCATTCATTCGGTATAGGCTCCCATCTCAGTAGTTGACTCTGGGCACCAAACAAAATAAATTAAGGAACAGTTACAACCCATAATACAAAAATTAAAATACATAGCAGCTGAGGAACATGTCAAAACTGACAGTTGCTAACAGCCAGGAGACGGGCCCCTTCACACCAATTGGGGCCCGGGCAGGACCCAGGCCTTGCTGCCTTGCTTTTCTGTTAAAATATTCCTTGCCAGGTTCTAGGCAAAATTTGGAAGGGAGATATACTTTTACTGTATCTTCAGGCAGATTTCTCTGTATATTTAATTTTTTTTAAAGAAAGTGTTCCTTTTGCCAAGAGCTCAGTAACTGCCCCACCTCGGTAACTCTGTTGCAACAGTCCTTTATGTTAGGTCAGGGTGAGAAAGTGAATTTGCCCAAGAATTTATGCATATGCTGGGTTTTAAGCAAGGCTTATGTGGACAAGTCCAACACAGATGGTAGGTACCAGAACTGGGCACTGAATGGGTAAAATAACGGTCAGCTCTTTTCAAACAATTCAGCATCTTGAGCATGTATTCACGTTAATAACACACAGCGCTTGCTGGGAAAGAAAGCCACTGTCAACAGAAGAAAGATACCTTTTTCTGGATTTTAATTCTACGGGTCTCCAAAGAGTTCAGGCAGCACATCTGTTTCTCCCCCTCCCTGCATGCCCTTTCCCCTCTTTTCCATTCACAGTTGGGGTAAGAATGTTTCCAAAGGGGGGGCTTGTCCCAAGCTGATGCCAAGAGCAGATTTGGTTGCTTGCTGAAAGCACAGATGCCGTTAATGCTCATCTAGACGGATGGTGTTCTTGCACTACCTGAATGCGCAGTGTCAGTGTTCTAGATCAACATGACCAATATGCACAGCAGCCTCATCCGTTTGTGCTATCAAGAATGGTTGAATCACAAGAAAAACCCGGGAGACCCCAGAGCTACCCCCGATTATACGCGTTCATTTAAAACAATGTGAAATACAAAGTCAGTGCCTGAAATGCTACTTTCTGCTGGAAGGCCATCTAGCTACCACTGGACCTTTCTTGCACCAGGGCTGCGTATTCTGGGTGTGGGAATGAGCCACTCAGGCACAAACAATTGTCCCATCATTGAATGGCAGCTGCTGAATCATCATGGGTTGTTGGAAGCCCAGTAAAACCAAAGACCTATAAAACAAATTGCACTTGAGTGGTAACACTGCAGAGGATAGACAGTTGAGATGACGCAACAGCTGTCTCAAAACAATGAAGGCATTCAAGGCTGGACCAATTTCTGCAAGAATTCTAACAGATGCATCTGAGAAACTGGGCAGCTGTGGTGGGGGCATTAATACAAGAGCACCTTCAGCTGCAGCAGGGGGGCACACTCATTTGGAAGGCCCAACAGCACCTTCATACCCAGATTGGCTGGCTGGCTGGCATTAAACTGGTCAAGTGGGGCTTCGAGTGGATTGGAAACCTGGACTAGAGGCAGGGGGTTCAGCACTCCTGCTTTGTCCTTAGAGAGAGATCCTTGCCCACTGCAGGTACTTGCTGAAGCCAGCCCAAGAATACTGAAGCATGTGCAAAGGTGGAAAGAATGCGACGTGGTCAGTGGACAAGAATGTCTGGACTGTGCAGTCTACATTGCTACAGCCAGGAGGCGTGAAGGGAGAGAGCAGAGCAAGCAAGGTTGTTTCTTTTGGGCAGGGGTAGGGAGTAAATAGCAGCCTTGGTTAGGGCAACAGAAGGATAGAGGGAATTCCAGGATGAAGCAAAGGGCTTCACCCTGACCTTGGCACTCTGCAGAAAGTTTTAGTTCAGGGCTCCAGTTGCTCTGTTCCAGATCTCATTTCCACTCTTCCTGGTTTGTTCTGGTTCTCTGTCTCCAACATAATTGAGGCTTGGAACAGGAGTGGCAATATCTGCCGTCCAGATGTGGAACTGTCAGCAGCCCCTACCAATATGGCCAGCAGCCATGGATGGCAATTGCAAAACTAGTCATGCTGGGAACAACCTTCCAGGGGTGGTTCTTTGCAGAACAGGCTAAACTAGGTTATTTGGAAACAAGGCAGATTCATTCGCACCCTCTGCTTGCCTTGGTGTGAAGATGCCTCACTGTTTGTCAAGGACATGGATGCATGGCGTCGTCCTGCCTCCGCCTATCTTTCCTTGCTCTTCTCCTGAGGGGGGCTTTTCCCTTTCTACTGGTGCAAGCCATGCCAAGCGCTCAGCCGGGCTGAGAGGGCTGTCCGTTTGATCGGCCAAGGCTCCTGTGGCACTCCCCCCTGAGCCTCTGATATCTAGGGCCATTTCCCTTTTGGCTGTGGGAGAGTCTGGTTCTCCCCAGAAATGCTAGGAGGCCTTTTCTCCCACTTTACTTGCTAACTTATGGGTGACAGGAGAGAGGCGGCTGCTCTTT